ATTTTTTCCTTGACATGATGGATTAGGTTCAGGTCTATACCACTAAACTTCAGAACTCTGACACCTGTAGCTCTGTGGGTGTATTCTTTTCCTGGCAGGTGGCAGAAATATAAGAGTGCAAGCTAAACCATGCAAACTTTTACATCCCATCAACCAAAACAAGTTACACAGTTAAGACTAACATTAGTGGGGTATATCAGTCCATTACTGTATTACTTACAGAGATATTTGAGAATGGGTGATTTATAAAGAATAGAGGTTTATTTGACTCAAAATTTAGTGTCTGGAAAGTCCAAAGGCTAGCATCAGGCCAGCTATAACATGGTGGAGAGTAGGATCTGGAGTTATCCAAATATTTTTATCTGTTTTGATCTCTTTTCCCTCTTACTAGCCCACCAGAACTCAATCACAGGAGGCCCACTCTAATGACCTTATGACATCACTCTGGGACAGCATTAGGTTTTCACTTAATGCTTTTACAATATAACCAAGTCCAAACACACGATTTCTGGTGGACACCAAACTACAGCTTCCTGTCACTAGCCCCCCAAACTCATGACTTCTTCCGTACAAAATCATCCCAATGGCTCTCACAGTCTCAACTCATTCTAACATTAACTCCAAAGTCTAAAGTCTCAGACAGATTCCTTCCAGCTGCTGTGAGTCTGTGGAGTGCATGGGGTGGCAATTTCCTTTCCATTCCATTGGAAGAAAGGAATAGCAGACCCAAGCAAGTCTGAAACCCAAGTAGGCAGACATTCAATCTTCAAACTCCATGTGCTGCATCCTGGATGCACCAAAGGGGTTGGGTCCTCAAACCATCAGGCAGCCTTGTTCTCCTGTCCTCCTAGGCTCATCCTGTACTTGTCTCTAGTTGGAGTGCCACACATTCAGTTTTCCAGGCTGCTGCTGGATGTTTATAGACCCACGGTTCTGGAATTTGAGGCTGGTCTCACTCCTATGGTTCTACTAGACATGACCATGTTGGGTACTCTCTACTCCAACCCGATATTTCCATTTGGTGTGCTCTATTGGAGCCTCTCTCTTGCAGCTCCGCCCTTGCAATAGGTCTTAGCTAGGCACCAAGGCTACTAGAGACAGTCTTTGAAATCTCAGTAGAGGTCTTCACTCTCTTAGTGTCTGTATGTCTCTTAAATTCTGCAACCCACAAAATTACCTCTACATAGAGACCACCAAGACCTGCCACTGGCAAGTTCTGGAGCAAAGTGTGGAGCAGCAGCCTTAACAGCAGGTGCTGCTTGAAACACAATCAAAGCTGAGGAATGCTTTGGTGGGATGCAAGGAACCAAGTCCCAAGGTGGCTCAGGGCAACAAACCTGCCCCTGGCCAGTCCTGTGAAACCACTCTGCCCTCCTGAGCTTTTGGGCTTGTGATGGGAGAGACAATGCCCTCTAGAATCTTCCCTGTTTTCCTGAAAATTATTACTTGTATCCCTTCTAGCTCTGCCAATCTCTTTACTAAACAGTCTCTTGGCTACACTTTTCTCTGCAAAACATACTTTTGCATTCTCTGCCACATAGCCATATTATTAATTTTCCAATATTTTCTGTTCTGCATCCCTTTTCATTATAAGTTCTGCCTTTATTTGGAATTATTTATTTAATTTTATTAATTTTTTTTTTAATTTGCTGTAGGGCACATGCACTTATCAGAGAGAGACCAAGAGTGAGAGAGTAAGTGAGAGAGAGAAAGTGAGAAAGCAAGCCACTAGGTCTGGGACTTGAACTGTGGTCAACCATGTGAGAGTCCAATGCCTTAATCACTATACTACCTGCTAGCCCCAAGTTCTGTCTTTAAGTAATTTCCTTCCTCTCACACCTTACTATATATAGTTAATAATAACCATGCAACTTCTTCTATATTTTGCCTTGAAATTTTATCATCTCTTCATCACACTTAAATTCAATACTCAACATAGCCTTAGGACATGAACAGTTTGCTGCCAAATTATTTGCTATAGTATAACACAATGATCTTTCCTCCAATTCCCAACAATTTCCTCATTTTCTTCCAAAACCTCCTCAGAATGGCCTCTACTAGCCATATTTCTATCAACATCCATATTTCTATCAGAATCACCACTGTTTGACCAATCTCTAAAATGTTCTCATTCACGTTTAAACTGTTCTTCTGAACCTCCACAAGAATCTAGACTTTTTCCTTGACTTCTCCTAATTTCTACCTATTTCCCAGTTCCAAAGTTCCTTCCACATTTTCAGGTATCTGTATCAACACAATCCTGCCAACTATGCCAATTTCTGTTTAAGTCCATTATTATGTTGTTAATAGAAACAATGAAGACTGGGTGATTTGTAAAGGTTTACTTGACTCATGATTTGACTCATGATGCTGGTGACTGGAAAGTCCAAAGACACAAGACTGGCATTAGTTCAGATACAATATGGCAGAGAGCAGGATCTTGAACAGAATGGCTGTCCATAAGTTTCTACCTATTCTTGTCTCTTTTTCCCTCTAATAAATCTTTTAGAACTCAGTCATTGGGACCCTGCCTTTATCACACCCAAAGGCCTCACCCTAGAATACCAAACACCCTAGGACACCATAAAGAGACTAAGTTTTAACTTAACACCCTTACTATATAACTAAGTTCCAACATATGAACTTTTGGGGGACTCCAAAGTATAGCAGGAAAATAGCCTTCATCTAGTTTAGTAGGGAGATGTACCAAGTCACCTTGCCCATCTACTGTGGTACCCTAGGAACGTCACTACACTAAGATGGCAAATGAGGTTAGAAGCATCACTTTATTATCTTTGAAAATGATACTTCTTGGTTTATTAGTTTGTTCCCATACCTATACTCAAAGGAACCTTGACACAACCAGGAAAAAACACAAGCAATTTTACTAATATCCTATGCAAATGATCTAATAACAAAATAATGAACAGTAACTAACATTAATAAGTACATATGACATGCCAAGAGTGATACATGAATGATTTCAATGAGCCTTAGTTGATGTGTTATTAATCCTATTTTACAGATGGTAAAATAGAGGTCTGAAGAGCTACCCAATGTCACAAAGCTTCTGAGTGATGAAGCCAGGGTTTAAATCTAGGCAGCCTAGATCTACTGTGCTTTTAACCTTTGTGGCATTCTAAGTGCTGTGTCTGGGTGCATATGCCATATTACAAGGCTTCAATATTGGGATATAAAACTGTGCCAAAATGGTGGAACGACCATCATATTTTCATATTGTGATTTATTCTCATGGACTCAGAGGGCTAAAATTTATTTTCTAAAGAAAGAAAACACTAAGGAAAACTGACTTTTTCCAATTCTTTTGTTCCATAGTTGGAAGCAGCTGAGAATAGCACAGCAAGTCCTATTATTTTGTAACTTGCAGAAGGGATGGAGGGAGGAAGGTGGAAAAGTGTGACAAAGCAATGGAAGAGGAAATGGAAGACATTTGGCTCACAAGCAAATTTCATGTCAGATTCAATGAAAAAATACAGATGTAATCAAGACTGCAAAAAATGTTGTATAAGCATTTGTGTGTGTGTGTGTATGTGTGTGTACATTCATGTGTGTATGTATATGTAATGTGTATATGCAAATATGTGAGAATATATTTGTATGCATACATGTGTGTATAACGGACTCAGTGTATTCTTCTTATCCCAGATGACTATACCATATAAAAATAGGCCATTTTACATGAGCTATATTTACCCAAATATAGTATGTATGTATATGTACATATAAAATGTTAAGTCAGCAAAAAGAAAAATCTTCAAACTATGGTTAATAAGAAATATAAACATAGGTTTTAGAATATTATTTTTAAGGAGAATATAAAATACACATAGCTGCTAAGAAATGCAGGAGTTATTTATAGACTAGAGTGGACTAACAAAATTCAAAAAGCTTATGTTTACATAAAGTATGATTATATCAAAATATCTGAATCATCACATTAAGCTTATCATCTAGATTTTTGCTATCAAGTAGGTAAAGAAGTTTCCAACCAGTAAATCGACTAACAGATCACTCTAACAGGGCCCTTTCTCTAAGTTTCTGACAGCACCCTCCTGGGTCTGGTTTGAGATTTACCCACCAGAACCTCTCTGCACAGTAGCAGTTCCTCACAATAAGTCTGGCCTGTCCTCAGGTGAACACAGCCCTTCCCTCCCCAGGCAGGGTGCTCAATTCTTAGTGAAGAATTAGACTTTAAGACAGTAGGAGAATAACCAGATAAAGAAAAATTTTTCACAAATATTGAAATACAACAATTTTAAAACAGAAAAAAAATAATAAAGGAGGTTTGGACAGACTGTCAGGATATACAGATAACAGGCCACAATCTAAAGTTAATCAAAATGTTACTAAATTCTATTCATCAAAAAGAGTAAGGTTATATTCATATATAATAAGATAAACCTATATAAAGAGTTTTGGTTATCACAAAATCGGACATAAATAATTGGGTAATGTAATAATTATCCTTTTCTAGGTAATACATAACACCATTACACATTCTATAGGCTGGTAAAGTACAAAAATTATTAATTTTGACTTGTACACCAAATACAAAATACCATCTTTCTCAGTACAAAATAAAAATAATAAAATTGAGTTGGATAAAATAAATATGCTCATTTATTTAGTTCTCATGGCTGTTTTCCTCCTATAACATCAGAGTTGAGTTGCTGTTACCGAAACTATTAAGGCCCACAATCCTAAAATATTTACTGTTTGTTCCCTTACAGAAAAGCCTGCAGACCCCTGCTTTCCATAATCACTGAAGTTGAAATGAACACGTGAGCCACACTGTTCAACTGTGATACCCTGCAGGGCAGGAAGTACTTTACCTGCTGTGTAATGCAAGTCCCTTGGTACAAACAAATAACCAACAAAAGACAGAGTTGAAAGAATTGGTCTAAGTGTCCTGAGGGTACTTTACAGTTTGGAAAAATGAAACTCTTGTTCTCCCTACTTGTTTTGCTAATTTTTCCTACCTGTTTGTCGTGCTCTTCATCCAAAGAATTGACATCATGGACATTTCCCTTGGGTTGGTAACTTTTCAATGTTTCTTGAGCGGATGGATTTGTGTTTTCCTCATCACTTTCTGGATTATTTTTCCATTCTTTCATCATTTCTAGTACATTGGTTGGCCTCACCGAAGACAGCATATTACCCTAATATTAACAATAAATTCTTGGTGTTAAAAATAGCTTAGATAATTGAAAAGATTCTTACATCTATTAAGATAGTATCCCAAATTCAGTAACGGTCACCCAGAAAAACTATAATGCTGAATAAATGGCAAAACTTCTGATGCCACTGTCACACACTCATACCTGTTATATAACATCATCTACAATATGTCAACGTTTAGAGAAAAAATAGTTGAGCCTGAAAGAACCATGCAGCATGCTTATACAAAGGACACGTCACGAGACAATTTCCTGGTAGGTACACCATTAAAAAAAAAAAAAAAAAACACAACTTTTATACTGTATTTCTACTGTACCTATGTTTCAATGTGTTTAGATACACATAACCATTGTGTTGTAGCTGCCTACAGTATTCACTGCAGAGACATACTGTACAGGTCTGTAGCCTACGAGGAACAGGCTATACCATCTAGCCTATTACTCACCCACGTAAGTACACGGTGTGATGTTCACACACAGCATCGCACCTAGTGATGCCTTTCTCAGAACACATCCCTATCATCAAGTGACACACGACTGTATGTGATTTGAAAATCCTTTCCTACCTGGAAGTTTTAGATATAATGGGGTCATTTGATTATGACAGGACTCAATGTATTCTTTATATACTGGGTATGACTATACCATACCAAAATTGGCCATTTTATATGAACTCTATTTACCCAAATATAATACCCCACTGAATGTGCAAAGAAATACATGAATACAGGCTCAAAAGGCTCCTGCTTGACTAGGTATGCTTAAATATTTTTCATCTTAACTTGGACTGTTAGAGAGAATATGGACAAGACATTGTGATTACATTTAGATTAAATGAGAAGTTCAGGTGTGGGCACAGCTAAGAAGTGATTCTAAATTAATCTGGATGAGGGTGGATTAAAGAGTCAAGCATCAGTGACACAAAAAGCTACGAGATAGGACATGCTAAGGGCAGTCATCTGAATGCACTGTTGAGGATTTATTGGGTTTAATACATTCAGGTTTAAAGACATAGACAAACATTAAATATGGAATAGTGATAGCAAAATTAGGATCATTATTGGGAACCAGCAGTTAGCGTAATGGCTATGTCGCTGGACTCCCATGTAGTTGACTGCGGTTCGCGTCCCGGACCCAGTGGCTTAAAACTCACACCGGGCACGTGTGCGTGTGTGCCCAAGATCCCAAGAGGAGAATGGAGGAGAAGGGATTGCGGTGTGACCATCCCCCCTGGGGGGTGATTTCTCACTTTCTGTCTCTATATCTCTCTGTCTGTCTGCTGGCGAGCACATGCACCCTATAGCAAAAACCTCTCCAAAAAAAAAAAAAAAATTCTTGGTGTTAAAAATAGCTTAGATAATTGAAAAGATTCTTACATCTATTAAGATAGTATCCCAAATTCAGTAACGGTCACCCAGAAAAACTATAATGCTGAATAAATGGCAAAACTTCTGATGCCACTGTCACACACTCATACCTGTTATATAACATCATCTACAATATGTCAACGTTTAGAGAAAAAATAGTTGAGCCTGAAAGAACCATGCAGCATGCTTATACAAAGGACACGTCACGAGACAATTTCCTGGTAGGTACACCATTAAAAAAAAAAAAAAAAAACACAACTTTTATACTGTATTTCTACTGTACCTATGTTTCAATGTGTTTAGATACACATAACCATTGTGTTGTAGCTGCCTACAGTATTCACTGCAGAGACATACTGTACAGGTCTGTAGCCTACGAGGAACAGGCTATACCATCTAGCCTATTACTCACCCACGTAAGTACACGGTGTGATGTTCACACACAGCATCGCACCTAGTGATGCCTTTCTCAGAACACATCCCTATCATCAAGTGACACACGACTGTATGTGATTTGAAAATCCTTTCCTACCTGGAAGTTTTAGATATAATGGGGTCATTTGATTATGACAGGACTCAATGTATTCTTTATATACTGGGTATGACTATACCATACCAAAATTGGCCATTTTATATGAACTCTATTTACCCAAATATAATACCCCACTGAATGTGCAAAGAAATACATGAATACAGGCTCAAAAGGCTCCTGCTTGACTAGGTATGCTTAAATATTTTTCATCTTAACTTGGACTGTTAGAGAGAATATGGACAAGACATTGTGATTACATTTAGATTAAATGAGAAGTTCAGGTGTGGGCACAGCTAAGAAGTGATTCTAAATTAATCTGGATGAGGGTGGATTAAAGAGTCAAGCATCAGTGACACAAAAAGCTACGAGATAGGACATGCTAAGGGCAGTCATCTGAAAGCACTGTTGAGGATTTATTGGGTTTAATACATTCAGGTTTAAAGACATAGACAAACATTAAATATGGAATAGTGATAGCAAAATTAGGATCATTATTGGGAACCAGCAGTTAGCGTAATGGCTATGTCGCTGGACTCCCATGTAGTTGACTGCGGTTCGCGTCCCGGACCCAGTGGCTTAAAACTCACGCCGGGCACGTGTGCGTGTGTGCCCAAGATCCCAAGAGGAGAATGGAGGAGAAGGGATTGCGGTGTGACC